TACTTGACTGAATATAGTGACTTTTGTGCTTGGGAATTAAATATTTGACTCGGGTGTATCCCGTTGTGAGTACTCCTTTTATTTGTTGACTTGGAGTAGGATACATCATTCAAAACTACAGATTCAGGTCTTCAGCTCGGAAACGTTTTCCTAAATTGGCTTTGACTCACGTCTCTTTCACTTACTCTGTTCTCTTCTTCAGAAACGCCAGTTCTTCGTGTGTTTAACCTCTGTGCTGCGCATTCTGAACCCATTTCCCTTTTACCGATTTCACTTCTTTATCCGTTCCCTTTCCTTTCATCCCCGCATTGCTGATCCAGCGTGCTGCAGCTTCATCTCTGCATTCTGTATTCCAACACTGTTGGAAATTTTGCCATGACAATGTTCCTTTCACGGCATTCTTTCCATGACTGTGTCAGCTGCTATCTGATCTAGCTGGCTATCTCATCGTCTCATCTTTAGCTCAAGTTCACAGACTTCCCGTTGTCGTCATATGTCGTGGAGAGTGCAAGGCGAGTGTATGAGATTTCCTTCTTCTTCCTGAAGTTAATCTCGTCCAGAACTATGCTAGTCTTCTCCCTCAACTATTAGGCTTATCCCTTTCGTGCAGGTACACATTCCACAGATGTCACAGGGAGCCTTTGCTCGACCTTGTTTTCTGCACACGTGCACGCGCCTTGGGAGAGGTTCGCATCAGCCTGGTACCTGCCCTGCAGGTTATCCTCAAATGCCCTCCTCACTCACCTGCATGCTTGTCATAAAGCCCGGTTCTCTGCTCTCAAGCTGGTAAACCGTTTGATTAAAAGTTGTATCACTTGCTTGGTGACCCAGCGCTTGTGGGGAGAGGGAGATGCTGGGGGGCGGAAGCCGTGCCCAGAAGCCACTCGTTTTCAGAGCAGCTTTGCGGCTGTCCGGCCGCCGCTCGGCGCAGAAGGGAGCCAGGTTTAGCTTCTCTACTCGGCGCAGAAGGGAGCCGGGTTTAGCTTCTCTACTCGGTGCAGAAGGGAGCCGGGTTTAGCTTCTCTACTCGGTGCAGAAGGGAGCCGGGTTTAGGTTCTCTACTCGTGTTCCCACGTCTTGCTTGCAGCAGGATTATCGTATTTTCTAGGAAGACGCTTCTGTGTCGGAAAGAATAGAAACTGGAAAAGGTGCCCCACCCGTGCTTCCTCTTCAGTGGGGCCGCTTTGCTCCTGGGCCTTCTGGCTGGGGTGTTTCAGACGCTCCCGATTCGTAGTAGAGAACAGTTCCAGGTGGGAGTTCAGCATCTGTGCCTCAAACTGTGAGGTTTTTAGTGTAATTTAGCCCAAATTCTTCCTGCTTACATTCCATGGTCTTACATCTTTTCCCTTTTCTAAGAAAATTGTTTGCTGTTCATTGTACCCATAGCTCTGTGAGAGGTAGAAGGTTTGGTTCCGGGGCTGCTGCTTCCTCTTACGACAGGACAGGCCAGCGTGAAGCAGACCGCCTTCACACTGTGTTCTGCTAGATGCTCTTTCCGTCAAGAGCATCGAGGAGACCATAATAAAATTGTTTTAAAGTACGCTTGAAGGCATGGAGAGCTGTCAGGCAGCCTAGACACGAGGGCCAGGGTCCTGAGAGACAGGAGGCTCCAGAGGGGAGCTCCCCGTTCTGCACGGCCTCAGCTCCAAGGCCTTTCCCCATCAACAAGCACCACCAGCCAAGAAATGGGAAATCTTTGCAGATATTAGTGGCCAAGGGGCTGGGGATCTGGGGGGGGCTTCTGGAAGTTTCCTGGCTTTAGAGAGACTCCCCGTGGGGCTCAGAGTGACGAAGGCAGTTGTGGCTGGAGGAACCCCAGAGCCCAGGGGGAGGGAAGTATAAGAAGTGGGGGCTCTTTTTATCCTGCAGTGTTTGCTGACGCTTAGCCACCAAGGGTGAGAGACCCACAAGTTGTGTGGCTGGAGGCCCCTGAGCGGTGCTGTCCCAGAGTGTTTGGGAGACACGCTGGAGCTCGGAGCCCCCTGAGGGAGAGAAGTGTAAACACTCCAGGTCAGCTTCCTCTGGGAGAGCTCAGGGGACCCCAAACAGGATTCCACTCTGCGTGGGGACTCTGAGGTGGGCAGCCTGAAGAATAAACCTGAGGGTGAGGGCTCCCCTTCCGTCATCCAGCCGCACACAAGCTCAGACAGACAGGAAGGCAGTTCTGCCCACTGGCCATCCCGGTGGCAGGCCACTTCTGGGCTGCCGCCTGCGTTCCTGCCGCCCACCCAGAGAGCCTCACTTCGTGGATTTGCTTTGACCATTGTAGATCGTTTGTTGAAAGTTCAGCACATTCTCAGGATGATTAGGGTTTTCTAAGAGCATCCCAGAGTCAGCAGCGTGGAGCTGAGCTAGAATGCCCACGAGGTGGGCAGCCCCACGGCGCTGCCGGAAGCAAGACACTGTGGGGTCCTTCCGACGGCCTGGCGGACGTCAGAGTGAACGAGGAATCGGGAAGCCTTCAGCTACAGCAGTACACCCCACGCAAGCTTCGAGAAGGTATCCACGAAGAGATTAAGAATGCTTGGCAGTCATTGGAAAGCCAGGTGATGCCTCGCTGCTCCGTCCAGGACAGAGATGTGGATGGCGTGGAGGCTGGAGATAAGCAAGGCCCTCCAGCAGGACCAGGACAGACGCGGCGCCTGGTTAAGAGCTGCGCCCGTTTTCCAGTCACGACACATAGCAGTTAAGAGCACGTGAACTGGCTCTTAACCACGGGGCTCGACCCTTGATATACGTCATCCCCTGCAGGGCCCTCGGTACCCGCACTGTGGGTGCCAGCGGTGCAGACGAGGAGACAGAAGCTCATAAAGACGCAGACACTGGCGTGAAGTCGAGAAGCTGGTGGGAAGCAGAGCGGGCTCTGGCGGCGCTCACGCTCCTTCCCCGTCACTGCGCCACTGGCCCCGCTCCGCCGGGCGGGTTCGCGGCCCTGGGAGCGGCTGCCGGCGTGCGGAGAAGCAGAGGAATCCACACATCTGTTGGTTGTTACAAAGTCCTGCGCTGAAAGAACCCTTCCCAGGTATTATAGGTACGTGTTTGAATTGGGAAGAACTCAACTGAAAAGTGCAGTTAAGATTCACATGCTAAGGTGTATTTTTAAGTTAAAAAGGAAAGCCTCAAGAAAGTAAGCCGTGATAGGATTTATACAAAATACCCAACTAGTGACATGCACGTCTGTGCCTGCAGCGGCCTCGGACTGGAGAGACATATCACTGCTCGCCTCCCACCAGGTGAAAAGCGAGGCACTAAAAATGTCAACAGGTAGTGTAGGCAATTGATACAGTTTTCTATAGCCAGACGTGGGCACAGAGCAAAAGACCCAAAGATCGTTAGGTAGCTAGCTGGTAGAGGGATATGAAGAGACGTATCTCTGAGGACTTGGCTCTCGTGATTATGGAGGCTGCGAGGTCCCACAGTCTGCGAGCCATTCCCTGTCCATGGGCAGAAGACTGACGTCTCAGCTCCAGTCGTCGGGCAGAAGAGGGGTGCATTCTTCCTTCCTCTGCCTTTTGTTGTGGCCAAGCCCTCAGAGGGTTGGATGACGCCCACCCACACTGGGAAGGGCGTGCGCTTCCCCGAGTCCCCAGTCAAACGCTAACCTCACCCGGAAACGCAGCCACAGATGCCCCCGGTGCAGCCCGTGTGCCGTCATGTTGACACATTGGCCACACCAGGCTCTTGTTCAGGGCTTCTAGCAAGACGGGTGTGTCTGAAGACTGTTCCCGAAACACCACACGATGAATCCTTGTTGTGTCGGCGGCCAGGAATGTGATCGAGACGGGCAAGGGCTAAAGGGCTTTCAGTCTTGCTTCACGTTTCTGTATTTTTCCAGTTCTTCACAATGCTAATGCCTCGGAACGTTCCAAAGAGAGAGAAGAGGGCACCGGTGTGCTGACGAAACTGACCGGGTGAGATGCGCCCCATGGAGTGGGTGCACTTGGCCACACCTGGTCCCTGGGTGGGGATGCCTGCTGCGTGGGTACCTCCCAATCACCATCTGCTACGAAGACTACTCTGACTTTCTGGGTGCTTAGGGGTTAGAAAGACCAGGTAAAATTTCTAAAATCTGCTAGAAAATGAAGAAAAGAATGGTCTAGATCGGCGCTCCTCCAACTGTAGGACACCCACACGATTCCTGGGCACCTCGTGGCTCTGCAGATTCTGGGCCAGTGGATCTGGGATGACTCCCAAGAGTCTGCCTTTTCAACAAGCTTCCAGGCGACGCCAAGGCCGCTGGCCCACGGACCTCACTTTGAGTATCGAGGCACCGAAGAGAACACCAGTGTGTGACGTGTGAGGTCAAGAGAGCTACAGCCGCAAAGTTCCTTCCAGATGCCTGATTGCCAATAATAGTGCAGTAAGAATTAGAGGAAACAGACACGGTGGGAAATGCCAAGTAAGTACTTTGAATGAACTCATGGGCAGCTGTCGTGCTGTGGAAAGGGCCACGGGTGGGGTTCTGATCACAGACCCGCCACCAAGCAGCTGTGTTTGCTCGGGTTGTCCATCAGCTTTCTCGTCGTGAAGCGAGTGGGTTGGATTCCACAGTCTCTAGAGCTTCGTGCAGCCCTGAAATTGCGACCCTTCTGACTGCAGTGGAAGGTTCCACGGCCGAGCTATCACCATACATGTAGAGTAAGAACGGCCAGTCGACATGAGGGCTGCGTGCCGGGGGTTCTGCTCGTGCGAAAGACGGCCAGACGCTGCAGGTTTGGATCTGCGTGTCTAACTGCTGTTTCCCCAGGAAATCTGAAGTGTCAGTTGTCTGCGCCCTGGTTGTGAGCCTAAAGTGTCGCGGTCCGGAGTGTCCTTGTCATGCAGGGTGAGGAGTCACATTGGTCAAAATCACGGGCTTGGGGGCTTCCCTGGTGGTGCAGTGGTTGAGAGTCCGCCTGCCGATGCAGGGGACACGGGTTCGTGCCCCGGTCCGGGAAGATCCCACATGCCGCGGAGCGGCTGGGCCCGTGAGCCATGGCCGCTGAGCCTGTGCGTGCTGAGCCTGTGCGTCCGGAGCCTGTGCTCCGCGACGAGAGAGGCCACAACAGTGAGAGGCCCGCGTACCGCAAAAAAAAAAAAAAATCACGGGCTTGGGGTTGTCGTTCGGCCTCCACATCCCTAAAAAGTTTCATCAGCTGCAAAGAAGTTGGGGGGAGGTCTGTGTACTTTGTGGAATGACTGCAGTCGTTCGGTTCAAGTGAAATGGTTCTCGCCTGGGCCCTGGTAGCTCTGTCTTCTGTGCGCTTAAGTGGGCATAAATCCCTTTCTGTCCAGGAACGTGACTGAGGCGGGGCAGGTATGAGCCGTGTAACCCCTTCTGTCCGGAGCTGCTCACCTAGAGTTACAGGGACTCCGACATCCAGCACCCACCCTGCCGCCTCGCAAGCGGTGGCCTGTAGGAGCGGCCCAAGCGGAAAGGTGGCTTCATGGGAATAAACGGAGACACCACCCAAATGAAAGCAAGTCAGGTGTTTAATCGGAGCTCACTGGGGCAGGGAGCGGGCCGCCATCACCTGTGTGTGGCGGAGACTGAGGGCAGGCAGAGAGGGAGAAATCACGGTGGAAAAGGGAGGGCTCCGGGTGCCCTGAGGGAGGCTGTTGTCCCGGGTGACCGGGGGCGGTTAGAGCCGGCGTCCCGTGTGATGGGTGAGGGGAGCACACCTGACTTTCTCTGGTGGGTCTGGAGTTGGAAGCAGGACCAGAAGCTAGGGAAGCTGCCAGTTACTGATGAAGCCCTGGCCACTTGGCGCTGTTGCCATGCGGGGCGTTGTCTGGCTCCCTGGATGGTTACCAGAGATAGTGGTCAAGGCTGGCTTACAGCGGCTGCCTCCTGGGCCGGCTGCTGTCCACGAGAGGGTCGTTTCCCGGGCAGCTTGCCGCAGGCTGTGGGTCAGAGTTCTACCTTTGTTTATGGTCTGGCCGTGACTGTATGTTCAGTCTCTCCATTTTTCAGTGTAGCTAACGAGGTGATGTCTTCCCAAAGCTTGAGGGGAGTCCAGACGGTTCCCAATTCAGTGAAAGCGTTAAAATATCCTGAAAAACTTTTTAGACTGAGAGTACCCCTCAAATCCAGTCAAGCAGAGTGGGGCTATATTCCATTCTAATGGAAAAGAAGCTTCTCTGATGGGTTGTACGTCATCCCCATAACAAAAAGATAGAAGTCTGCGGAGGATCCAGACGCAGGAGAACAAAAGATGGGTGCAATGGCTCCACGAGGGTCCAAAGGTAACGGAGCCAGAGAAGAGACATAACTGGGAGCCCGGAGAGAGGGGAGGGCGCTCAAGGCCACCCAACTCCCATCATGCAGATCCCACAATCTCCAAGCGAAGTTTGAGTCACGATGTGACCTTTAAATGTAATTTAATTTTGGAGAGAGTGGACAGGAGTATCTGCATTACTGAAAACAAACACGCACTCACACAAATGGCTGAAGCGGCTCCAGGCTGTCGCTGGGAGGTTGGGCCGCCTTAGGATGAAGGGATAGAGCCAGGTTTCCCATCACGGCCCCTTGGAAGCCCAGCCTTGGAGGCTTCGGGTCCAGGTCTTCGTAAATTTCTGAGGAAAGTGTTAGAGTCAGAAAGATGCCGGGGAATGTGGGAGGAGCTGTAAGAGAAAGGGAAAGCAGTGATTAAGGGGGGGGGGGGACAGTTTGATTTATGGTTTATGAGTAGAGATTTAAAGAGCTAGATAGGATTTCCCTGAATTGTACAAAGACTAATTATCAAGGCTAACGACAGAGATGAATGCCTGTAAATATCTTTCTGGGCAAACGCATCAAAGGTGATTAAACTCTGCTGGAATTAGGGACAATGGGACAGTGTTAAGAAAAGAAGAAGAAGTTCTTAAGATAGATGGGTTTTCTCTAAAGCCACCATGTTCCCTTCATAATGCATCCTGCCCGCTGCAGTGATGCTTGCCCATTTTGCCTCCTTTTGTTCTTGCGATGTTTTTCCTCATCGGTGAAAACGTATGTGCCCGTTTGGGATTCACGGGGGACCAGGAGCTGATGCAGGAAGGAAGGCTCCTAAGGGTGCTTCTGTTTCTGAGACACTGAGTAACTCAGTGTCTTAGACAACGTGTCAAATAAGAGGAGAGAACAAAAGACACTGTCTAGAGGAAGGGCGGGCAGGCTCGATACCCCGAGTAGTAGAGATTCGCTCAGGGCTCACTTAATCCTGGGGACTCCAGGGACGAACTGAGCAAACTCCACGTGGGCAAGTTTGTGCTTTGAGGGTCCTTCTTAGAGGCGAGCACAACAGTTCTGTATAACGGGCAAAGCTGCAGAGATCCGGTTTTGCTATTATTCAGGCACTAGTTTGAATCTCAAGCATTATAAGGCCCAAAAGAAAGCATGGGGGCGAGGCCCCTCCACCCCCATCTCCGGGAGCATCGCTGACTAACGCCGTGTTCCTTCACGAACGGCATTCCAGGAAGGATGCCACCTGCTAGCGCTGGCAATGAAGGTGAAGAGGCGGCTCCAGGAAAGTGGGGGCTTTCAACCAGACAGCACTTTCGTAAGCGACTTTGGTCCCGTGCCCACACAGCGGGAGCTCGAATGAGTGATCTCAGTTTGGGCCATACACAATTTACTGCTTGCTGTTGGGAATGCAGAGGTGTGTGAGCATCAGGAAATGGAAAATCGGGGGATATGCCCATCACAAATGTCCAGACCTGCTGTCACGCTTTTCCTTGAGGAAAAACATTGGAAAGATAAAGAATCCAGTCACCCGAGCTGTGGTAACACACTTCGTTGGATTTAATATGGTCTACGGTCAAGCTAGTGTAACTCTGCCTACCTCTCGGTTTGAGGATGAAGGTTTGCTTCCGCCATGTCCATATGCCTTAAATCCACCGTGTCCGCTGAGCCGTCCTTGAGACACGGAGAAGAGCTTCTGCAGCTCGTTTCCCAGCGTCGCCCACGAGGTCATCATGTCCACCAGTCCTCAGATATGAACTCATTTGAAAGGTGCCCTGGGGATTCGACAACAACACGTGTTACTAGACGACATTTTCAAGACACAGAATCAGAATGTTTCACAGAAAGTGCAGTTAATAGTCCTCTGGGTATAAATTAGTTTGGGCGCATGTTGTAATACATAATATGGGCGCCCCAATAATTCTTCTCAGGACAGCTATGAATTTGTCAGCTTTTTATTTACTGGGTTGTTTTTATGATTTGGCACTTATTTAGTTCAGCAACTAGAATGAAACCTTCAAGGCAAGAATACATATTAATAATCACAATTAGGTCTAGAAAAAATTGAAGCCAAGTGAAAACAAATGGTTCCATCCCTAGAAGAAAATTTACTTCTTTGTTGTCAAGTTCGTGCAGAGTCATTAAGGGTTATAGATTGTATGCAGCCTTCCCCGCACTCTGTTTCTGTAGAAAACACAAGCGGGAAAGAAAGAGTCGGGGCCCCGCCGCACAACCTACGAGGTGACACGACACAACCTACGATTGTTTCTTTGATATAAAAATTGACCGTCAGCTCAATACTGTTCTGACAAAGAGTTTGGGCTGGTTTTGCCTGACCACTCGCCAGAACCAGAATCTGAACATTGGTTTTTTCCTTAGTGCCTAACATCTGAAAGCATTTTAATTTTTTAAATTGAAGAACAGTTGATTTGCAGTGCTGTGTTAATCTCTGCTGTACAGCAAAGTGGCCCAGTTACATATACATTCTTTTTTTATATTCTTTTCCATTATGGTTTATCCCAGGAGATTGGATATAGTTCCCTGTGCTCTACCTTAGGACCTTGTTGTTTATCCATTCTAAATGTAGTAGGTTGCATCTACCAACCCCAGACTCCATGATATCGTAAAGCCAATCTGTAAGGAACCCAAGTCTGTGCTTCGTAATTTTATGACTACCTTCGGAACTGTCCCGCTGACGACAGCAGTCTTGCAGATTTCCTCGGATGCCATGAGGCGCAGACAAAATGGCAATCTTACACGTTGTAAGAGGGTCTGGAAGCGACTTGTCTGGATGCCCTGAAGAAGGCGGCTCTCTGGAACCCTGGCAGTCTCCTGCCTCCTGGAGAGGACTCAAGTCAGCCTGGAGAGGCCTCCTCCAGTGTGGCAGATGTGCAGGTGAACATCGTGTGTGCTCAGTGGGGAGTCTTTCCGCCACTTCTGCGCCCGGTAAACTGTTTCAGTCACTTGCCAGTAAGAAGGCTTTAAAAAAAAAAAAAAATTAAGTAGCTATAAAGCAGTACTCAGCGCCGTAAGTACGTGGTACCCAAAGGCCCTGAGGAGAGGGACTGCGATCGGTGTGGCCAGCGTTTCCTCTTTGAGGAATATCTGAAAGCTCTCTTAGCACTGTCTGGAGGAGCCCGGAGGTGTGGCCTCGCTGGGCGCTCAGGTCAACTCCGCCGAAGCAAAAGGAGCAGCTCCTTCACGTGGGAACCAGGAAACGGTGCTTCTAATGGAAACCCTGGACAAGGACTTACCAGACCTGGATTTTCATTCTGCTTCTGCCATCGAAGGCTGTGAGACCCTGGGCCACTCACTTCCCTTATCTGAGACTCAGTTTCTTTATGAATCAAGAGGTTTGGACTTGATCTTTTCTAACTCTTAAGCTTTACGATTCTGTGTCTTTGATATAAAAATCGACTCTCAGCTCAGTACTATTCTGAGAAAGAGTTTGGGCTGGTTTTGCCTGACCACTCGCCAGAAGCAGAATCTGAACACGGGCACGGGCGATCTGTGGGGTTCGTGTCCCTCTGGCCAGGCCCAAGGGCTGCGCATGAGCAGGAAGCGGGCACGTGCCATCTGCCCCAGGCTGGGAAATTTGCAGACGTGCATATGGTCTCCTAGAAAACAAGGGGCTCATCACTATTAAGCCGGTCTCATTACAGAGTCATAAATTGGAAATTGCGGTGAAATTAGGTTGATTTCTGACTGACAAATTTTGGTTGCAGGGCGGAAAAGAAATAATCATTTTTAAAGCTGCAACAGCTGTTACATCATATTATATTTTAAAACCCTTTAGAGGAATTAATTAATTTTATCATTGTTACACTCTCCTTAATAGTGTTCCAAAATACCTGGCGGTGATTAATCATGATCAGAATTTTTATCAGTCATGATCTAATACATTTTTCCAAAAAGATTTTATTGCACATTAAAATTACTTCGTTTGAATTTTTTAATTGTAGATCTTAATCTTGTTTGAAAATATAATCTTGATCCATTCAGTGTCATGCAAAGTGAGTGCTTCTTCTCAAAAAAACATTTTCAAACTTTGCTTGGGTTCTTTTCTTTCTTTTTTGCTAAGCCGTATCATTTAATTTCATGTGGCTTTAATGAGTAATTGTTTTCAGCAGTTTCTAAGGTTTCCGTCAGCAGTATTTCATTCCAGGATAAAAGGTAATGATCCATAAATTCTTAATGCCATATTTTTATAGCCAGTAAATTAGTCTTTAATGGGTTCAATAAGTTCTGTGATGTATGTCATTAATTGTTAATGGTGTTTTAACTAGATAATTGTAATGAAGGGCTGTTTGTCATCACTGCTGTGAGTGACTGATCCCTGCTATCTGTTCCGCTTCATAGTGTGGCACTTATTTTATCTGGCTCTGCGTGCTGAGAGCAGATCAGGTACCCAAAATGCACCAGCCAAACATCACATCCTAACACTCGTGTGTCGTGTGGCAGTGACACGGGCCTTCAGTCCCAATTTGCTTTTATCTTATGTATCCATCAGCTGTTGGTCCTACAGTGCTGAGTAACAAACCACCCCAACCTCAGTGGCTTAAAGCAACAATCCTTTACACTCACCATGATGATTAGGCAGGCCCTGGTACCCAGTTGTTCAATCAAACAGAAATCTGGGTGCTACTGTGAAGGCCTTTTGTAGACACAGCTAACATCTACAATCGGCCAACTTTAAATAAAGGAGATTACCCTCGATAACTTGGTGGTCCTCGTCCCATCAGCTGAAGGCTATCAGAGCAAAGACTGAGTTTTCCTAGAGAAGAGGAATTCCACCTCCAGACGGCAGTATCGAGTCCTGTCTGAGTTTGCAGCCTCGCCAGCCCCACTCATGCGTATGCAGGCTGGGCGGGGACTGGCTGACCCTGTCTGGGTTCCACGGGGCCAGGCTTATCACCGCAGGTTGGGCCCTGTCTGTCCTCGTGGCCCTCAGGCTGCTCAGGGCGTGCTCTCCTTGGCAACGGTAGAGAAGCAGCAGATTTATCACCCAGGCTCACTTCAAGTCCCGCTTGCCTCTCATCTGCCCTCAGCCTCTGGCCAAAGCAAGTAAGTGATGGAGCCCTCAATACAGGGCAGGGAAGTTCACCCCACTTCCGGGGGGAAGACAAAGTCCCGTGCCGAGGGTGAGGACAAAGGGGAGGCGAAGAGTCACCACCAGCAGCCGTGCCTCCCACCTTCTCCTGAGCCCGACGAGGCTGGAGCCCCAGGGCCCTGGGAGACACATCTTCCGATGACTTCTGATGCGTGTACCCTGTCACTCACTCCGGGCCAGACAGAATCGGAGCCCACGGGTCAAAGACCAGCCAAAGCTCCCACAAAGGCAGAGTCTCCTCTGAGAGCCTCAGCGGACGCCACCGGCAAGTGGCACAGAATCGTCACCTTCAAACCTCAGTTTTCATCACGTTCCTGCTCTTTTCTCTTTGGCGCAATTTGCTTTTCTCTTTTTTTGGCAACTTTACACGGATTAGGCATTTATTTTCCAGCCTCATCAGCAGGCTTACTTTTGGGTTTTTTTGCAGCTGTAGAAATGCTACAGCTTCCCTCCTCTACCTGCATGTATGACCTTTCCAGATGGACAGTGTCTGGTGTTCCTACCCTGAGAAGGCGACAGCTATGTCTGCGAGGGGTCAGGGGGAGGCGCCCAATGGACACATGACGACAGCCATTGAGGGAAGGCCCAGAAAAGATGGGTGAGCATCGAAGAAGGATTTCCAGCCAAGAGAAGAGTGTCCGCGAAAATCAGAGAAAATGATCACTGGTCGTAATGATAACTCCTTCTGTATAAGCAAGGCTGGCTCAATGATACGTGGTCCAAATGCTTAAGCATGGTTATAGATCCTTTGGTAGTCTGTCTAATCTACCAAAAACTACACTAAAACATCCTCTCACCAGAAAAAAAAAAAATTGTGTGTGCGTGCACACACACACACACAACCACATACTTCCTAAAACCTGCAACATCGTAGCATACAATGAGAGGACCTACAGTTTCAGGGAGTTCGTGGGCCCATCTCTGGATTAGAAAGCTCTTTGGGGTTCACATTCGCAGCATAGTTGGTCATAGTTGAACATGTGGGATTAAGGACAGGGAAGAATCAAGGATGGCTCAGTTCTCTAATTTGGTTGATTGCATGAGGGACAAGGGCATCACCTGTCCTGGGAGCAGAAGAGCAGCCCCTGGGGGACAAGACGGCAGCTGGGCAGGTAGCGCTCACCGTACCCAGAGGCAGCAGCCCATCCAGGCTGGCTTACGGAAGAGAGTCAAGGTTTCACAGTAAAACGTAGGAACCGCAACCGTAGACATGGTTGGAAGTGTTAGGGCCATAGCTCTGGGGCCTGGAAATGGAGAGGGAAGGGACGGCCGGGGCCACGTGCCAGCCCGGTGGGAAGATCACGGAACAAGCGGCCGTGGATTTAGCAGGGAGATGATCATTTTTAAAATGAAACAACTAAAGCCCTGCGGGGGTGCTTGGTCCGCTTGCCTGCCGTGTCTGATCTCTTGGGACATGTCAGAACTGACCTGAGGGCAGCAGCTTTGGGTCCAGTTGAGGACGCACATCGGTGTCGCTTGCAGCGGGTGACTCTGTCATTTGCAAAGGGCCCCAGGTGCTTCTGGTCAGTCCCCCACACACGCCTCTGCCCTGTTGAGCATCCCTGGTCTTTCAGAGGGTGAAATTCCCACGACTTAAGATTCAAGACACACTAGCAGTTCCATGAAGTATTCTTTCCTTGAAATTCAGGAGAATCGGACATGGATTCCACTTCCTGAAAGATGTCTCTTCTTTGCCACCCATGAACACGGTACTGTGCGGGCCAGGTGATGCCGTCTGGGGAACTGCAGGCAGTCTGTGCCTGGAGCCAGGGTCCAAACATCTGCAGGCCCTGAGCGGGGATCACAAACCAAAAGGATGACCAGGGCTCAGCCAGCCAAGCCTGCATCTCATTACTTCTAAGACGCTTTTTCTTTTTACTTTTACATCTGAGTCCATATGAAAACCAGACACACTCTATGATCCATAGTGTGTCGTAATCTATTTTTTTATTCATAAGGGTACATAATTTATTGTGTCCTACAGTCTAAAGGTGTCTTAGCCTGAAATGCAGTCAGGGTGAAGCAGGGCCAACTCAAGGTCCTAGGGAGTGACGGGGCTTGTGATGGATTCAAATTCAGAAAAATATGTTTTCTAACATTTCAAAAGCTAAACAAGACTGCCCTGGATCATGATTTGGTCTCTATCATTGGCCCATCACCCTGGCCTGGGCCACATCATTCTGTGACTGATGTATGTAGGGGGTGGAGCCCCCACCAGAGCAGGGCGGGGACCTGAGGCCCAGGCCCAAGCCCCGAGCTCCCAGGGATGCGGCCCCTTGTGCAGCAGGACAAAGGGAACTGCAGAGCGACCTGGGGGAGGATGTCGGCGTTTACCTAGGACGTTTGCGGATTACTCTGGAGCTCAGAGCTGAGCATCTGGGCAGCTCCCTGCCGCTGAAGCCACCCAGCCATCAGCCCTCCCGGGACGGCAGCCTCAGGGTCACATTTGTGCTCAGCTCTGCCCCGTCACAGGCATCTTAGCCTCACAACGACTGCAGACGCCCCTCTGCCTTCCGCCTGCCTGCGTCCACGGGGGCGCTCCACGCCCCCCACCCCCTGCAAGAGCCCAGGTGGGCTCACCTGCGAAAACACGGGTTTCTGGCAGCAGAGCAAACACAGACTCCCACCTCACCCCCACGTACTCTATACTATTCACTTGGTCTGTTCGGGCTGATGTAACAAAACACCGTAGACCACGTGGCTTAAACAACCTTTGCTGCTCACAGTTCTGGAGGCTGGGAGTCCAAGATCAAGGGGCCAGTACATTCAGTTCCTTGTGAGAACCTCTTCCGGGCTTGCAGACACCACCTTCTCGCTGTGTCCCTCACAGCCTTCTCTCCAGTGTGTGCAGAGAGAGATCTTCTTTCTCTTCTAAGGGCACAAATCTCGTCATGGGGGCATCACTCTCATGACCTCATCTAAACCTGATCACCTCTCACAGCCTCCAGATACCGTCTGGCGTTTAGAGCTGCACTCTACAGATTTTAGGGGAACACGGATGTTCAGCCGTCACAGAGATGATCCAGCAGCACCGGTTCCCCATCGTGAGACTCTCACTGACGCCCGGAGACAGGTGATGCTGCCCTGCTACCACCTGGCACTCAGAGGCAGCCCTACATAAGTTCTTCTGTCCAGAGAGTTGGAGATTGGGGAACAAAATGCTTCAGCCAATGAGAGACAGCCAGTGTGCTATGATCACTGACGTTGGTGAAGAGACATGCTGTTACATGTTCATGCTAATATCTATAAAGTGTCTCCTATGATCACTGATGTTGGCGAAGATACATGCTGTTACATGTTCAGGCTAATATCTATAAAGTGTCTCCTATGATCACTGACGTTGGCGAAGATACATGCTGTTACATGTTCATGCTAATATCTATAAAGTGTCTCCAAGCACAGCAGTTCCTACGTCTGTGAAAGGCAGCTTATTGCAATGGCAACATGAAAGTGGTTCTTACGCAGGATCTACTTAGTGCTGGCAAAACAAAGGGACCATGAGAGCTTACAGACACCGTATAACTCAGACAGCAATGAAAAGTAGTATAGTCCAAATCATAGCAGATTCCATAAAGATAGTATCACATCTAGAAAAGTAACCTCATGATATTGTATGTAATAATAACAACAACAACATGAATCAATGGAAAGAGACTCTGACTATACAATAGGATAAGTACAAACCACATCGACACTATTATCTCCAGTTAAAAATGCACACCAACTTCCTTACATGTATAGGTTCATCACGAGATCAAATATAATCACTGCAGCCATTAAGAAACCGTGGGGGTCAAAACTAATCAAGAAGAAGAATAAAGTTCATTCAGCACACTGGTACCTGCTAGGGGCAGCCAATACATTAGATTCAGGCCCTCGCAGATTAATAACAGCTGATTACTGCCATCGAAGAGATAACATCTTAATGAGTGAGATAGCCTAAGAAAAATAATTAAGTGTTTGAACAATTTGTTGATCGCTAGGTCACTGTTCATCTCCGAATATTTTCTCTTCCTTAGTTTTTTAAAAAATTTATTTTTAACATACATTTGGTAAAACTCACTCTTCTGGGCATAAAGATATGTGCGTCTTGACCAATGTCTGGAGCCCTTGGAGTCACAGCCACAATCAAGATACAGAAAGGCTTCATCACCCTCAGAATTGTCTTGAGCTACAGCTTTGAGGTCACAACCTCACCTCACCCTTCCTTCCTGGCAGGTATTGATCTACCCTCCATCCCCATCGCTTTCCCTTTTTCTGAGTAAAGGGAATAGTATAACATGCAACCTTTTGAGACTGACTGCTTTCATCCCCTCGAAGCTCTTGAGATCCATTCACGTTGTCTGGTCCATTTGTGCTCTTTAGGGTTCCCTTGTATGTGAAATCACACTTTGTTACCCGTTCCCCAGGTGGAGAACATCTGGGTGGTTTCTACTATTTGGCAATTATGAGTAGAGCTACTGTAAACATTAGTGTATAGGTCCTTATGTAAAATGTATGTTTTCATTTCACTTGGATAAATACCCAGGAGTGGGCCTGCTGGGTCACATGGTGAGTGGGCGTTTAAGGTAATTAGAAACTGCTGAGCCATTTTCCAACTGGGCTGAACCATCTTACATTCCCACCAGCAACGTATGAGAGTTCCAATTGCTCTGCATCCCCACCAACCTTGATATCGTCGGAGAGATTCTAATAAAGAAACTTTTGTGGTTCAAAGGACAATGCCAAGAAAGTGAAAAGATAACCTACAGAATGGAAGAAAAGATTTTCAAATTATATATCTGATAAGGGTCTAGTGACCAAATATGTAAAGTGCTCTTGTAACTCAACAATAAAAAGACAAATAACCTAATTAAAGAATGAGCAAAGGATCTGAATAGAATTTCTCCAAAGAAGACATACAAATGACCAATAAGCTCCTGGAGACATACTCAACATCATTAGTCATCAGAGAAATGCAAATCAAATCCACAATGAAATACCACTCCCATCCTCTAGGTGGGTATAAAAAAAAAGCCAGGTAATAGCAAGTGTTGACGAAGATGTGGGGAAACTGGAAACTTAATATTTCACTGGTGAGAATGGAAAGTATTGCAGCCACTCTGGAAAATGGTTCCTCAGGAATATCCCATAAGTTTTAGTATGTTGTGTTTTTGTTTTCATTCTTCTCAAAGTATTTCCTAATTTCCCTTATGATTTCTTCTTTGGTTGATTATTTAGGTGAGTGTCAATTAGTTTCCACATGTTTGTGAATCCCCAAATTTCCTTCTGATACTGATGTCTAGTTTCATTCCGTTGTGATCAGAAAACATACTCTTTATGATTTTAATCCTTTTAAATGTATTGAGACTTTATTGAAATCTATGGCCAAACATGTTGTATATACTGGAGAATGTTCCATGTTCACTTGAGAAGAATGTCTGTCTGGCCATTGTTGGGTGCAGTGTTCCATAGATGTTGGGTAAGTCTGGTTGGCTTATAGTATTGTTCAGGTCTATTATTTCTTTATCAATCATTTGTCCAGTTGTTCTATCCATTATTGAAAGTGGGGAGTTGTAATCTCTGACAATTATTGTTAACTTTTTTCTCTTCAGTTCTATCAGCTACTGCTTCCTTTAATTTATTCTCTGTTTTTGGTGCATATTATTTATATCTTCTTGATAGATTGACACTTCTATCATTATAAAGTATCCTACTTTGTGTCTAGTAACAACTTTATCTTACACCCTATTTTGTCTGATAGTAGTGTAACCACTCCACTGCTCTTTTGGTTACTGTTTCCATGGTATACCTTTTCTGTCCTTTTAGTTTCAGCTTACTTGTGTCTTTGGATATAAAGTATATCTCTTGCAAACAGCACAGAGTTGGATCATGTTATTTTTGTCTATTCTGCTGATCTCTGCCTCTTGACTAGAGTGTTTAATCCATTCATATTTTATGTAATTCCTGATGAGGTAGGATTTCCATCTTCCATCACCACAGATTTATAATTGTTTATGCTATTTTCTTTTAAACCAGATAGGAAAAAAAGAGTTAAAAACATGCTCTTATAGTCTTTTATATTTACCTATGTAGCTGCCTTTACTGGTGTTTTTATGCCGTTGTGTGGATTTAAGTTGCATCTAATATCCTTGCATTTTAGTCCAAAGGACTCTAGTATTTCTTGTAGGGCCGGTCTGCTAGCAACAAACTGTCTTGGTGTTTGTTTATCTCTCCTTCATTTTAAAGGATAGTTTTGCGGCATATAGAATTCTTGGTTGACCAGGGTTTTTCTGTCAGCAGTTTGGAAATGTCCTCCCACTGCCTTCTGTCTCCACAGTTTCTGATGAGAAACCAGCTGTTACCTTAGGAAGAGTCCTTCTGTGTGATGAGTCACTGCTGCCTTCCTGCTGTCATGGTTCTCTGTCTTTCTGCAGGGTGTGTATCGGTGTGTGAATCTCTTTGAGTTTATCTTACTTGGAATTTGATTAGCTCCTTGGATGTATAGATTAATGTTTTCATTCTGTTTGGGAAGGTTTCTGCCATTATTTCTTCACATATTCTCTCTGCCCCTTTCCATTTCTTCCCTCGTTCTGAGACTTGCATCATGTATATGTTAGTGGCCTCTGTGAGGTTTTTGAGGCTCTCTTTATTTTCCTTCATTCTCTCTGCTCTGTTTCTCGGAATGCATAATCTCAATTGATACATCTTTGAGTTCATTGGCTGTTTTCCCTGCTCAAATCTGTTAAGCATTTCTAATGAATTTTTAAATTTTAATTATTGTAGTTTTCAACTCCAGAATTTCTATTTGGTTCTTTTTTTTTTTTAGTAATTTCTCCCTCTATGGTATTTTCTATTGGGTGAGACACTGTCCTCATACTTCTCTTTAGTCCACTGAACATTTTTTTTTTTTTTTTTTTTTTTGCGGTACGCGGGCCTCTCACTGTTGTGGCCTCTCCCATTGCGGAGCACAGGCTCCAGACGCGCAGGCTCAGCGGCCATGGCTCACGGGCCTAGCTGCTCCACGTTATGTGGGATCTTCCCGGACCGGGGCACGAACCCGTGTCCCCTGCATCGGCAGGCGGACTCTCAACCACTGCGCCACCAGGGAAGCCCTGAACATATTTTAAATAGCTGGTCTAAAGCCTTGGAAAGTCCAGTGTCTGGGCTTCCTCAGGGACAGCTTCTATTGATTACTTTTCCCCTGTTTATTAACCATACTTTCTAGTTTCTCTGCACGTCTCATAATTTTTTGCTGAAAACTGGACATTTTATGTAATACAACACATCAACTCTGGGAATCAGATTCTCTCCCCTCAGCGTTTGTTGATGTTGCCGTTTGTTTAGTAAATTCCCTGAACTAATTCTGTCAAGTCCATGTTTTATGTCACGTGTGACCACTGAGGTCTTTGCTCAGTTCGCTCAGTGGTCAGCTCACCATTAGACAAAAGTTTCCTTAGATGCCTGGAATCAGTGTGTCTCCATGTCTTTGCTGAGGGGCCAGGCTGAGTGTTCTCACTGTTCTAGTCAGGGTTCAGTCTCTCACCTGTGTTTAGCTAGGTGCAGTTCTTACTTTCAGGTTAATTTTTCCAACTGTAGGTTTGTTCATTCCTTCAGTCCAGAAGCATTTTTGGAAGCTTTTGTTTCTTTTAAAAGGTTTGCCCAAAGAACCTTAAATAGCTTAGACCTTACAGAAAATGGACATAATGTCATAATCTTCAATATGAGTTATTATTTTCTCCGTGGAATAAGGACTTTAAGACAGGGGACAAGACCCCTTAGTCATCCCTTGAGTCCAGGTTGTACGTGGCTCACAGTGGTTGACACAGGCATCCCAGTATTCAAGGGACATGTGTGGGCACATGTGCCACCACTGGGGGGCCGAGGCCTCTGTCATTTCTGTCACCAAGGTGCCCACACAGCACTGAGCTGGTGGGATGCTGTCAGTGGAAGCTTCAACGGTGACGGCAGGACATTGGATTTCTGTGCCCAGAGCTTTCCACAGTTTGTTCGCGGCCTGAAATACCCATGTAGACTCGGCCCTGGATGCGGACTAATTCATTCTGTGACACATGCAATGTTTGAGAGGGTTTCCTCTGGCGTGTAGTCAGAGCTACGGTTCATCTTGTGGAAATCACTTTGTAAGTCAGCCGGACCACATGGCTCATTTTATTTCTGAAAGTTTTGATAGGAAAGAATTTGTTGCCAAATCTGAGACTCACCCGTATCCAGATGCACACAGGGAAGCGGAGCCCTCAAGAGGCAAACCCACCCATGCACCCCGCTCGGTGTCTTTGCCTCGTTCATTCCTCGGGGCCAGGCGTCAGGGGGCTAGAGCAGCGTCAGAGCTCGTGGGCCGCCAGCTCCGTCCCTGAGGGAGAGGAGCTCTCCGCCCCAGGCTCAGGGTACACGGAGCGGAGCAGCGATCGGACACCAGGAGTTTATGGCAAAGCGGGACAAAACAAACAAACCAATCAATACATAGGTTTTAAAGAACCTTCACAGGAGCGACAGGCAGGCTCCAGCCAGCAGCAGAGCTTCAGGCCCAGCCTCGCATCATTTGACTCCCTGCAGAGGGCTGTCTCCTTGGTGGAGGTTCAAAGTCCTGAGCTCTAATTACCAGCGCAATTAGAATAGCAACATGTTCCCACCGCGGAGGGCAGCCGGTGCCCCTGGGAGAAAGCAGGTCCTGAGCTCCCGGGAGCGGTGGGGAGGAAGGCGCCCCAGGCCCCGCCGCCAGCCCAGCCTTCAGCTGGTCGTGGGTGATCGAGCCCCTGCTTTGAATGTGCTAACGAGGGTCGTTATTTTTAGCCGCGGCGGTCAGACTGGTGCCGGGCTTGGGGAAGGGACTTGTTTACACAGGGTCCTCAGAACAGCCAGAGAGCAGCCCCTTCAAGGGGGCCAGGACCCTCCCTGCTTCATTTCTGTTTCTCCCACATAC